GTTCCGAAGATGATGATCAAAATCACGCCTAGAGGGTGATTCACATGCGCAGGGAGCTTCACACAGGTCGCAGGACCTTCGCTCGGGGTTAGGGTTTCTCCTTGAATGATCCATGCTTCAAATGTTTCTGAAACTAGGGCAAACAGAAGAAAGAATAGGCAGAAAAGAAAAACTTAGGGTGTTTATGAATTTGGTTTACTTCCTATGTTGCTTAGGCAGAAACTCGACATATTTAGTCGTCTGCGGCTGATATATCATGGTTTTTATGGTTTTTAACCATGGTGTAAGTCCTATTTATAGAGTCTTTCTAGTGTCTTTCGAGTCTTTTGGAGTCTTTTCAGGTCATAGGTACGTCTGGAGCTTAACTGGAGACTTTGGAGCACTTTGGAGCTTAATCAGGATCAAATTCGTCAAGTATGGATTTTGTGCTTTAGTGACGCTCGACACCATGGGGAGTGACGCGCGACACTTGTTTGAGAAATGAGGAAAAGACGATTTTTGTTTCCTATTTGAAGAAGGAGTTGGGCCCAAACGTTTTCAAGGAAGCCCAAGACGTGTCTTAGAGATATATATAGGATTTTTATTTCCTTTTTACGTTGACCTTAGATTTTTGAGAGAAAGATACTCTGAGTTTTTTCGGCTTTTGCGATTTCTGAGCTTGGGGAGACAAGTCTGTACTCTGTTCGTTTAGAGAGAAGATTTCGAACCCCTTTATCTATTTCGATTCAATCTATTGCTTTCTATTCATCATGTTTGTTGTTTCAATAACCATGTCTGAGTAGAACACCTTTTAGGTTTAGGGTTAATTAGGGTTTTCTCTGAATGATCAATTAACTTGCTAGTTAGGGTTCATATCTATTTGTTCTTCACCTTAGGTTGTTCTTAAAGCTAATTCTGGACTGATCACCTAGAACTTAGATCTTAGGTTGCTTAATTGACACGGAAGTGTAATTGAATAACTGGAAAGAACCTGAGTTGAGCAAAGTAACTATTCGCAAAGGAATTTGGTTTAGGAGCTTTGTGAACATATCAAACTTGTGCAATTAAGGCTGGTTTAGATCTGTAGGATTTACAAAGGAATTTGGAATTCTAGGATTTTAACTTAGATAATTTTCACAACGGAAGTTGGTTAATTATAGTTATGTGTTTCGAGTTCAAGAACCGTGCTTAATAACTGAACCCTGACTTGTTAAGTTGATTTGCATTCATTGATCTCCTGAAAATCATCCTAGACCTATCCTTTATCACATCGAATTTACAACTGTCTTCATCGCTGCTTTATTTATTTCTGTCACATTGTTATTTGTTCTGCATATTTTGGCTTAGCGTAACACTATCTACAGAAGGTTCATTGAGTGATCTCTTGTCTCTGTGGTTCGACCCCTAGATACTACAACTGCACATCTGTGCTCTTGCAGAGTAGCTTAGGGATTAAACTTTGAGCATATCAGCGGCTTCAACCTCCCAGGTTTAGACCTCCAGCGACTTCATGCCTCCCCGGCAATGGCGCCAAAAATTTGGTGGGCTTGCGGGCCTAGGGTTGTTTTTTAACAAGCCCATTGGTCCTCCAAAAGTTTTAAATTTATAAAACCCTAGTATCTGCAAGTGCACAGATGTACGTTGTAGGACTTATGGTGTCGATCTACAGGGAGGATGTCTAATCTGCAAGAAACAACAAACTGGGAAGTAAGCAAACTCATAAACCAATAAAAGATTTGAGGTTTTTGGTTAAGATCCTAAAGTAAACCTAATATAGTATTCACAAGAGATGCAATGCAGGATGAATTGTTAAAAGAACATCTAAAGCATATCGACTCAAACTAAATACTCTTAAACTCATAGGTGGCGATTTAGACTTCTCCGGTTTACTCTAATCGTGGTATGGTGGCATTTCCAATGAGCTTCCGGGCGATTTATCTTCATCTGTTTCTGGGAATCTGCATTGAACTAGAATAGACACATGTATGATTAACCAAATGTCGTCACCTTAATCAACTAATCTCTTAGATCTAGCAATTGACTCTCGCTCTCATGCTAAACTTAAGATCATGCATTGGACACTGAATTCGTCTGCTCACATCTTCTTTATAGGTAGCTTTCGACTCCTATAGAGACTATGTTCTTTTGAAGCTAGGTACGGATGATCTGATACAGCACTCTCATGGCTCTGATCGATCCTAGGCTCAGAGAATAGGTCATGAATCTACTCTCATGCTTTACGAATGACTTAGAAGAGATGAGATCCATAATATGGCTAAGAACAATAGAATTCCTAATCGATATATATATACGCTTGTCGATATCTTCAAACAACTTGACTCTCTGGGACTAATCTACATGATGCAATAAATGATGAAAGACATAAAGGAATGCAAAAGAATGAAACAGAAAATTTAATAAGATAAAAAGGAGGAATAACAATGGATCTGGGGAAGAATCCCCATATCCATCGCCTAACCCTAGAAAAACAAAGTTTGGTGGCTCAAAATCTCATTACAGGAGCACACACACGTTTAGGACTGCTAAACAATTGATTTAGAGGTCCTAAGGTCTTCCAGGTCTCATTTAGGGCTTCTCTAAAGAGGAATGGCGAAGTGGGCTTTGATGATGGGCCTTGTGGCTTGTCCTAAGGTCCACCGGGGGTGAGAATCTTCCATGGCAGGTAAAACATGTGTTTCCCGCGGGTGAGAGTCTTCTGGGACTGGTGAACTGGGTCAACCTATTCTCCATGTATCTTTTGATTGAACCGTTGGATCTTTGTGATGTAAAGTGCTATGGAAAGCTGGTTATCTCCTCTTGATTTTCTCCAAATTTGAGCTCGATCAGACGGTGAGAAAGTCTTCATTTGAGGCTGAACTTCTAACAGTCTGACTCTGAGCTAAAAATGTGGATTTCTTTCATTTTGCCATCATATTCCCTAAGTTTCCTGAAAAGAGCCTTGAAACTACAAATACATGGAAATCATAATAAAATTTCCTAAAACTAAGTAATTCCTTTGAAAAAGCATTTGAAATCAATGGTGAAAAGGGGTCAAAATTAGGTGTTATCACTTAACAATAATATTGTTACATAATCAGATATACAAATTGATTAAAATACAGTGCATAGTGATAACACGTTTTCTAATTTGGGTAACAACTGATAGCATTTGCAAATTTTTGCAAGAAAATAAAATAAAATTCGTTTCTGAATTGAAAAAAATGTTAAAAATATTTAAAAAAAAATAGTTATAAAAATAGCATACTTGTATGTATTTTTCCACTCGTAAACGATTCTTTAACATTCTTGTGTGGTGGGAAAAATAATATTGTCTATGTTTGGTGTTGAATAGATTTTCTAATAATCTATTACAAAAAATAAACTTAATTTGCAGAAGAAAAATTAGAAAAAAAAATCTAAATATATGTTGACTCAAGCTAAAACTATAGAAACTGATGAAGAATTCAACAAAATCAGGATTCTTTCTAGTAATGATGGAACTTTTTACAAATAAGAAAGAGTATAAATACATATAATCCCAGTTTTCCACTCCGAAACCAGACTTCCACATATAGAGATAAAGAAATAACTTCTACAAGATTTTTTGTAATCTATTTTAGATACTCATATTAGGTTTAGACTTTACATACTTGTATAAATACCCTACCTTTTTGTGAATCAATAATACACATACACTTTTCCCATTCATTACATGGTATCAGAGCCTAAAGATCTCTGACCTAATTTCTTGCGATTGACATCAGGCCAGCAATCTGATGTGGGGAAATCTAATCACCACAGTGTTAGCTCTAAGGTTTATGTCTATGATGGTTTATATAAGATTTCAAAATTGCCGGCCTGACGTGGAGAAGTCTGGTTTGCCGAATAAGGTTTGTGTAAATCATAAATGGTAAGACAGATTTCGAGGAGTACTCACAGCATAAAGGTTCCTGATATCATATATGTCATTTTAGAGATTCACCGGGATATTCTTCTTATTGGAAAGAAAGGTCAGCTTATATACCCAGCATGCCTAACCATTAACGACGTACTTTTAAGTGTTTCCGCAACCGAGATAGGCAGTGCAAGAATGAGGTTTGCAGAAACACTTAAAAGTAAGTGTGGATGGTTAGGCCTGCTGGGTATATAAACTTTGACCTTTCTTTCCAATACGGATAATGTCCCGGTGTATCTGTACAATGACATGGATGATGATCAGGAACCCTTAGAATATGATCATAGGAGAGATCAACATGGCTGGCTGTGACTGTACGTAGTTTCTCCTGCAGTGAAGATTGTCTTTGTGCAAGGAAAAACGGTGGTGAGCTTGCTTATGACGATAAAGGGAATCTATTGAGAGGAAAGTCTGTGGTGTTTGAATGTGGGACATCGTGCAAGTGCGTGAGACACACCCGTCGGATCAGACCATCGTGAGATAGAGATAGCTGGGGATGTGAAGGCCTTGTGTATGTGTATATACACGCAGTTGTGTGTGTATATGTGACCATGGATACATTGTACCATCTTATCTACCATGATTTTTTTCCTTAAGACGCCTCCTTCATTTTCTATAAAATACCACCAAACAAATTTATATTCTAAAATCTTCAAGGTCTAATTAGAGATATAAATATATGATTCCAGTAAATAAATTGTTTCTGACAAAGTGACTGCCAATTATCATTTTTTGAAATATAAATCGTTACTTATAGTTAAGATATATCACTGTTATAACTAAAATACACTTATGAGTTATGATATACATATTTTACTTATAGTTTTTGTTTCCTTTGTTCTGTTTTAAGTTGTTGTTTAAGAAAAGGTAATTCTATAATATAATGTTGATTAAAAATAAAATATGAGAAATACAATAGCAAATAAACACATTTTTTCTAGACCATCATCTTAACTAGCTCATATTTATACCAAAAGATCTAAAATAATTGAAATTCTGCAGACCCAAGCAAATGCTTGATGGGCTTTTCTACCCAGAACAAAGCATTTTGGTTTCAAAGTTGTTTCTACGGAGCAGTTTGAAATGGAAAGCCTCCTCTCATCTGTCGCCTAACGTGCTCTGGTACTAGCCTGTTTATAAGCTTTGGGGAGGCTTCAGATAACTGATTGAACATTCAAACAGAGAGAAAGAGATACCAGATTAAGAAACTGTTTGAACTTAACATCAATTATGGTTTGGTTTAAGAATATTTGGTTTAAGGAAAGTGGACTAACATACCTCTTGTTTGAAGTTGAACAAAGGTGGTAGAGGTCGGCCATTTGGAAGACGAGCATTGGGCTCGCGAAGTTCATTGAAAAATGGATGAGCACATGCTTCGAGCTTAGACACGGAAACATAACACATGTCAGTTAAAAAGCCTCAGCATCATTGGACAATGCAGGTCCAAACAGAGAGAACCACTCTAACAACACAGAAAACTTGGTCGTGTAGAGATACGGACCGCAGTGCAACGTAGACTAGGTGAATATTGAAGAAGCCAAGATGTGAGGTCAATGGCTTCTGGAGGCATCCGCTTATGGAAAACCTGGAGGTCATAAAGTAGTATGTGTATTGTTTCAGCTTTTCTTTTTTTCTACTAAGCTATTGTATGATAAGAAAATTTAGAACGTAACATGCATATAAAGTACCTTATGCCACGGATGAGCTTTAATTTGTGGGAATCTAAAGTATCTGTAGTTTGAATTCATGCATCGGATTTCTTCTTGCGTTGGATTCATGCATCAGATTTCTTCTGATGTTGAATCTGCTTCTGGAAATTATCCTGACCACTATGACGTGTAAAAACTAGAACATCTCCTGCATCTTCATCATCCTCGTAATTACCTGAGACGACAATGCTGGTGGGCTTACACAGCCAGCTACAACGTAGTTCCAAAGGTGAACCGATAGCCACCAGCATAGCCGTCTCAGGTAATTACGAGGATGGTGAGACACTGGAGATGTTCTGGTTTATACAGGTCACGGTGGTCAGGATAAGCTCCACAGGCAGATTCAACATCAGAAGCTAGAAAGTGGAAATCTTGCAATGGAGAGGAGTATGTACCATGATATTGAGATGCGGTGATTAGAGGGTTTTAGTAAAAGAACAGTGTTAGCTCTACGGTTTATGTCTATGATGGTTTATGTAAGATTTCAGATTGCTGGCCTGGTGTGGGGAAGTCTGGTTTAGGAATTTGAAACTAGGATTACATGTACTTGTACTCTTTCTTTTAGGTAAGAAGTTTCATCATTACTAGAAAGAATCTTGAGATTTTGAATTCTTCATCAGTTTCCGTAATTTAAGCTCGATTGAACAATGTATTATAGATTTTTTCCTAATTTTTTTCGTAAAATAAGTTTATCTTTTGTAACAGATTATTGGAAAATCTCTTAAAAGAATGTAAAAGAATTTTGATAGGTAAAAAAACTTCTAAAATTTATAAACTTTAAATTGGTTAAGTTGTTTAATTTAATCTTGATTTAAAAAGAATGTAAAACCTTGTATAAATTTGTAAGTTTTTATTTCATTTATTCTGTTTTAGGTTGTTTAAAAAACCTAATTCTATAATATAATGTTGATTAAAAATAAAACATGCCAAATACAATGACAAATAAACACATTTTTCATAGACCACTGCACCATCTTAACCAACTAATATTTATAAAAATTAAATGGCCCCTAATTCTAGTGCCCCAAGCAAAAGCTTGATGAACGCATACCAATATTTGGTGTCTGATGCATGTTGAAAGAAACTGGCCGGTGTTGACCTGTGACGGTGGCATCATGGAATACGGCCAGACTGGATGAGGAGCTACTGCTGTCTCTGTATTGATGA